CGTCGCTCGAGGAAGATCATCTCGGGCTCGGCCAAGAGAGCCATGTCCTGAGGTGTTTTGTACTCTGCAATGCGACGAGCCTTGGCCTCCCGTTCTAGCCCCACATGACGCATGTTTGCGAAGTATAGCGTCGATACCTTGCATGCTCAGCTCGATGGGTCGCCACGACTGCAGAAGCTTGCGGATGTCACTGTGGTCCATCGCGGTCGCCATGTCCAGTGCCGTCGCCTTCTCCTACCCGCCTCTTTGTCGTCGAGTTCGACACCAAACGAAACGAAGTACGTGGTTGGGACACAGCGTGTCGGCGCCACCTTCTAAAAGCAACACGGCGCATTCATAGCTGCCGTACCCCGCACACAGATGCAGCGGCGAGTTGCCATACTTCCGCATCGATCGATATAAGCAACGGCGAGGTACTTGTGTTATGTACCTTGTCCAGTGCGTCGGGGTTGGCATGGTGCTCGAGGAGCACCTGAATGACACTTGCGTGGGCGTGCCGCGCTGCGTAGTGCAGCGCTGTCCATTGCATGTGCTATCACCAACGCCTTGATGGCATGGCGTGGAGGATGCTGGCGTACCGGCTCGGCCACGTTGACGTGCACGCGGCCCTTCTCGAGGAGACAGCGCACACGCTCGGTCTTGCCATGCTCGGCTGCATACCAGATCGTCCAAATGTCTTGCTTGGTGGCCTCGAGGATCGCGCGCCGGTCCTTGGCCCGCGCCAGTTTGCCCATGGTGCGAGTTTGCCCTTTCCCCAAACGCCACAACAGTTTCACAGGACATGACTGTACATTATAAGACATAGTTGACCGCAATTCACTATCTCGTTGGATCACATCGAGTATAGCGTATAGCTTGAGCTTATTGCTTATTGATGCATATCTTGGTGCCTACGTGCAGAGTCTTCTTGGTCTTGACGTCGACGCAACTCTTCGGTATCCGGCGACCATCCGGATACGTAGCCCCAAGCTGCCTTTTTGGTGGCCTTTTTGCGTTGCATTTTCGGCGCTTGTTTTTTAATTCGGTTGACGCTGGTGCTTGCTTATGCCCGAGGTTGTCGAGCGCATGGCCACGTACCTCATGACGTCCGAGGACATGGCTGCCTTCCTGCAGGCGCTGCCGGATGATTGGCTCTCGGAGCCTTTGGCCGCGCTCCGGCAGCTCTACCGCACCGTGCAGACGCGACGTCTTGCGGTTCCGGCGGACGACATGCGCTACCCGATCCACGTGCGACTCTGGCCGCAACTAGAACGAGGAGCTTTGAGGCAGGGTCGCCAAGGCCATGGTGTTGTACTCGGTTCTCGCCATCAACGGCGTCGACCTGGCGCCACCGTCCCCGCTGCAACCCTAGACGAAGCTCCGCTTGAACGCCGTGCGATCCTGGGCGAAGCTGCAGCAAACAATTGCGCAGTGGCCTGGGCGCATTGAGCGGATCGAGCTCCTGATCGACCTCTTCGAAGCCGATTGGCCAAGCACGGCTTTTGAATCGACGGCCCTGGCGCTGACGACGCTGCGTGAGATCGCCGTCCGGTTTGATCGCTGCGCCGACTACGATCTGCGTCCTATAATCCAAACACTCGCATCCACGTCCGTGACGAGCCTCAAGTTGCTTGGCCTGGGCCATCTGCGCTCGCTGCTCCACTGCCGCCTCTTTGAAATTCAATTCTCGCGGGCCTGCGTGACAAGCCTTGCGTCGCTCCTTCCGCAGCTGACTGCTCTCCAGTTGGCGGTCAACGGGGTCTTCGCGACAACGATGTGTCTGTCTTGGCCGCCGCGCTCCCGCAGTGTCACTACCTTGAGTTTCTCGAGCTGTCGCATCAAAACCTCAAGGATGCGAGCGCGAAATCGCTTGCGGCAGTCGCTACCGCTGTGCCCGTCGTTGAGAACGTTCAATCTCTGTACCAACTTCATCAAATCATGTGGCGCTCAGCGGCATCGTGCATCGTCTGGACACCATCCACCTCGCCAACAACGTCATTGGTGTCAATGGCGCGATCGCGATCAGCCTCATCGTGCCGCAGGCGTGCCACTTAACGTCCATGAACCTCGACGGCAACCAGCTGAAAACGAAAGGCGCGGTGTCGATCCTGTCGGCCCTCGCAAACTGCGACTACCACCAAGGCGCCATCGACGTCCACGACACGCTTGCAGACGACGAGTCCGACTGCGAGTGCGCAGACGCCATGGAGGCGCTCCCGGACGCCACGTGGGCGAGCTTTCACGATGATGACGCTCGGCACGTGCATGAAAATCGACCTTTGTAAACACAAAACGAATGCAAAAGTTGGTACACTTAAATAGGACAACATTTCCAACGAGTCATATGACTAGAGACGGGTTGGCGATATGACGTTGAGCTCGATAATACTCTGAATGTGCTTGGTCGACATGCCGGCCCGGTGTAAATCGTGCATGGAGTTGAGCGATTCTTCTTGCAGGCCCGTGCTATGCGTGGCCGCTTACCGTCACGAAGAGTGCGTGCCCGCCTGCACCACAGCCTCGTTAAGTGCTTGCGTAGCGCAATCTTGCTTCGCTTCTTGGTCCACACAAGTGGCCGGCCCCTTGTCATGCGCTTCCGTCCGCGTCCGCCTCGACCACGTCCCTCAACCCGGAATTCACAAATAAAAAAGACAGTCCAGCAACATCATTTCGTTTCGGATTTGCTCTTGGACTAGAGGA